TAAAATATCTTTCTAGCAATACCTATTATTCTAAAATAATTTTTTATATAATTTTAGTCTGGAAATATTTTTCTCGAAAGCCACAAACATTCCAAACTAACGATGCATAATGTAGCTCAAAAAATAATATATGTAAACAAAATTACTGATGGTGAACATGCTTTTCGGCAGAGCTACACGGTATGCATCCCCAAATTTCTTGAATAATATAGCTGATTTAATATGAAAACAAATTTAAGAATTGTTAATACCTAATGAAGCTTAGGTGAACTTTATCCAAACAATATTAGTAAATTTTCATTCTACTATAAATGATTAATCTGAAACGGTTAAAATAGAGCATCTCTCAATCATTTAATATCTTCTATAGTCATTTTACTAATAAATCATCACTAAAAAGTGTTTTTTGGACAGAAGTATTTATGTTTTATTAAAAAAAAAGGAAAGTCTAACAGAAAGTTTGAAATAAAAACCAAAACATCAAAAGAGGCAGAAGGATGCCTCCGCCGCCACTGCCACCAGAAAGCAGAGCCACCGAAAAACAAGTCCGAAATAAGGTCCCATTCCTTTTGACAAACCATATGCTACCATGAAAGCAAACTTATGACGACCACATAAGAGGAAACACCACTACCAACAACGACAATGCATTAATCCGGTGAAACTCCAATCATTGCCACAAAACTGCCACCAACCCTAAGTGACTAGATCTCAGCAAAGAACCTATATTCCATTGCTAGCCAGATCAGATCAAAGTGGGTAGAACTAGAAAACATACCAAATCCAGGTCATCATGAAGAGATACTGAAACTGGAGGGTCGCTGACTTACGCGTTGCTCTCTGTCCATCGCGGTATTACTGCTAGTGGTCTTGTTTGATTCTTGTAGAGCCGATAATAACGGGGCCTAGCCGGCCAGCCCGCCAAAAAAGGCGGGCTTGGGTTGATGTTTTCCCAGCCCACCACGATGCGGGCTACTGTAGCCCGCACCGCTTTTGGCCCGCTCCGCCGCGGGCTGGCCCGCTGGTTGGCGGGCCAGCCCGCCAGCCCTTTTTTTTTTTTTTTAACTTGTTCTGATTTTTAATACATTATATAATATAGTTAGATGATTTTGACCATTAAATTTCATATGGACATTACCTCATCAATATCATTATATATATAATTAATTAAGCACTTCATATATATGTATGGTTATATGAAGAGCACTATCCATCTTTTATTTTTATATCTATTTGTCGTTAGTATGCACGGCTTCATAAGATTAGATAAATATGTGATTTTCATATAGTCATACGTACACACACATAAAAGATTTACTTAATTAATTTGAATAAGAAAACTAGTTAAATTAATTATTTATAAAAAAATATATATGTTAGTTTTTCTTAAATTTCTTCCAATATTATAAATTAATTCTCTTTTTTTTATTAGGATCCATTACTCAAGTTTAAAACTCGGAGCCTAATTTCAACATTTCAAATTAGGCTTAACTCATACTAATATAATAAATTTTAAAAAAAAAATTAGGCGGGTTGGCGGGCTCGGGCTGGCAAAATGCAGCCCGCCAAGGTGCGGGCTACTTCAGCCCGCACCGCATTTGGCCCGCACCGCAGCGGGCTGGCCCATATCCGCACCGCCAGCCCGCTTTCCCAGGTCTAGATTCTTGCTTATACAAATAGGGAGCTTTTTTTTAAAAAAAAAAAAAATTGGGATGAACAGATAGGCAGCTTTTGTGGCTGATAATTATTCAAAGGTTCATTCTCTCATTCCATCATTTCTTTTAAATATATATTTAGAAAAAAAATATTTCTTATAAAAAAAGAAACAAAACTATTTCAAATGTTGTGAAAATCTATCATTTTGTTATAGTTCTGGGGATGAAAACCTTTTGGAGAGTGATTAAATGCCCTTTTTTTTTTTAATTCCATGGCTTTCACATCTTAGCCTCATGCAAAGGGTGTTTGTTGTTTTTAGAAAATCAGAGCTTTCTTGATTTTTTTGCATAGTTATGTGCTTGAGGTCTCATTACTACAGAATTACAAATACTTGATGCCAAATATTTGACGGTTATGATAAAAACTATCAAATAAGGAGAGGTGGAATTTTCCAGAACAAAAATTTGATAGTTTTAAAAGGAACCGTCAATTATTGTTTGAGAATACTTGACAGTTCTAGAAGGAATTGTCAAGCATGAAAAACAAAAATTTGACAGTTTCTTTGAAAACTGTCAAGTTTAGTAATACTTGACGGTTTTTCAATATAACCGTCAATTATTTGTCAAGCGTACTTGACGGTTATATTGGAAAACCATCAAGTGTGTCTTAAAACCCCTAATCTGTTCATTTCGCTTAACCTTGTTTTAAAATTTTAGGCGTCATTCTACTTCATAAGCTCTGCCCAAACCTCCCAGCCCTCTAATCCACCATCCCCACATCATTTTTGGTCTTTTCCTGTTGTTTTTGTGGTTCCTCCTCCATTATCTTCACTCTCCGTGATCCTCCTCCATCATTGTTGCGTCGTTGCGCTGTGTGGTTGTCCTTTATCATCGTCACGCTCTGTGGTCATCCTCCATCATTGTCACGACATGTTCTCCAGATTTTATAGCTTCAGATTGGTCATGCTCTTCTTTAAATCCCTACTCTAATTTTGTGGTTCCTTCTGCCTTGTTGCATTTTTCTTGGTACAACTCTTGATTCCTTCTGCCTTGTTGCAATTTTGGATTAGATACTCTTGTTCACTGGAACCTTCCAAATGATTTTAGTTGAAACTAGATCATAGGATGAATAATTATTTTTGCTCCATTATCGTATCTTTGTTCGGTCGAAATTTGGGCTTGCTTACATGGTTTAAATTGGCATAGGATGAAGGTAATGCACAATCATATGTTACAAATGGCTAATTCAAAATGATCACAGACCTATTCAAGAAGTGTTAATAGCTGATGAAGTTTAGGAAATGGATAAAATCCAAACAAATTTTATAAATTTTCACTTAAGTGTAAATGACTAATCTGAAATGGTAAAAACAAACTCAAAAATTGTTAATAACCGCTGAACCTAGGCAATGGGTAAAATCCAAATAATATCAGTGAACTTTATTCAAACAACATTGATGAATTTTTACTTCAGTATAAATGATTAATCTGAAACGGTTAAAATAAAGTATCTTGCAGTCATTTAATATCTTCTAGGCCTTTTTTTGGGTCATTTTACTAATATATCATCACTAAAGATAGAGCCGGGAAAACGGATCGAGCCCGTCAGGCTGGCTTATTTAGGCGTTAAAATTATGAGGTCCGGGCTTGAAATTTTTCCCTTCAAATGGAAAATACGTCCTGAAGGACTAATCCTGGAGGGCTGAGTGCTTAAAAAGGCCGGCTCTGGAGGGTCGAGAGCCGGCCTGTTTAGGCCATTTTATATATTTTTCTAAAATTTTTTATGCAATTCTAATATTATTGATTTTTTATATTGTTAATAATATTTCAAATATTTAGTTATTATTATTATTTTAAAATTAAATTTTACAGAATGATTTGATTTATTTAGTTTTTGATAATAATTTATTCAATTAAATTTTTAAAAAATGGGTTAATTTGGATTTTAATAATGATTTGATTTATATTATATGTGTTGATATTTTTAAACTATATATATATATATTTGATAATAGAATATTTTTATACTTGTATAACTTGTGATTCTATAATTTGAATTAGAAATTCATGAATTTCAACAATAATGTTTCTCACATTAAAGTAAAATAATAGTTAGATTGCAAAATTTAAAAGGAAAATTTATATAAAAAAAACTTGATATTTTTGTTACGAAAGAAAAACATATTTATAAAGAAGAGTAATTGATTATAGTGATGATGAAATTTCAAAAGATTAATGATAATGTTTATTTATTGCACAATTGCATTATAGATAAAACTTTTGGATGTTATTATCTTGTTAATGAATGTTTTAGATGTTATTGAATGTTGATGGATATTTATATATGATGATATTTTGTATTTGTGACTTAATTTTATTCATATTTATGTTTTTTTATTAACAATTTCATTGGTTTATTTTCATTTTTTTGATAAAAAATATGATAAATATAAAAAATAACATTTTTTTCTTAAACGGGTTAAAAACCTGCGGGTTAGCTCTGAGCTTGTTAGCTTAAGGACTAGGCCTAATAAATTGGGATATTTTTAAAATTTCAGTCTTGGAGGGTTGGCCTTTTTAAGCCCGCTAACCCTGAAGAGCTGGTCTTGATTCCCACCTCTAACTAAAGATTTGAAGTCTGTAAATTCATAAAGCCAACTCTGCGTATTCAGGGAGACTTGATTTAATAAGTTTGAATTTTAAAATTTTTTTATAAATTTAAAATAATAAATAAATGGAAATTATTGAGATTTGATTTGATTTGAATAATTTAAATTCACAATAAATAGAGAGAGTGAGATCAAAACTCACATAAAAAACAATCTTCATTGAGAGATTATACGTAATTTACCTCAATTCATTTTCCTATTTTATGATTTGTCAAGAATATAATTCGTAAAATATTTTGCATTCAATACTATTTTTAATTTCTAAAATCAAAATTTTATTTAATCTGTTTTAAAAAAATTTTGTTTCTATTATAAAATTTTGTGCACCAAAAGCACTGGTTTTAAATTTTTGAAAGCAAAATCAAAATGAAAACAAATTACACTAAGGAAGAGTTTATATAAAAAGAATTTGTATCGATTTGTAAAAGAGTTTTACCTTCATTTGTATAAAAATATTTTTTAAAATAGTTTTTGGGATTATCAAACTCTCCCAAGTAAAAATGATATTAATCCTTGTACCCAAAAAAATGACAATGATCGTATATTTTATCCGTAAAATGAATTTCATAGTTAGCGATTATTATTAAAAGTATCTTTCCCGGAAAACAAAGGTGACCCTCCATTCCTAGGCTCGCCGTCGCAGCCGGAGATTGCGTATGTGATTTTTTGTGGCGAGCGCTTGTGATCTTCAGGCGCATGGTTCTTCACAGTCTGATTCTCCCCTTCCTCCTCAGCAGATCTCAATTTTTGATGATGAACATGCTTTTCTGTAAAACTACAAGGTACGCCTTCCCCAGATATTTTTCCCATTCGCCAACTCCTAGGAGCATTGAAGAGGCTATCTCTTCATTTCATAGCTTGCTTCATATGAATCCCCAACCCTCTATAGTCCGTATTAATAAGATTCTAGGATCTGTCGCGAAGATGAAGCATCACCGAACTGCTATTTCCCTTTTCTCAAAAGCAGAATGCAAGGGATTCACTCCTTCTTTATTTACTCTGAACATCTTGATCAATTGTTACTGCCATTTGGGTAACATGTCTTTTGCTTTCTCTATACTAGGGAAGATTCTCAAGATGGGCTGTCAGCCAGATATAATAACTTTAACTACTCTGTTGAAAGGTCAATGCATTAATACTAACGTTAGAGAAGCCCTTGTCTTTCATAATGACATATTGACAAAAGGATTTCAGTTAGATGAGGTAAGCTATGGCACCCTGATTGACGGCTTCTGTAAAATTGGAAAAACGTCTGCTGCTCTTGAATTGCTTCGAAAGATGGAGACAGGGTTAGTTAAGCCTGGTTTAGTTATATACAACACAGTAATCGATGGTCTTTGTAAAGAAGGGCTTGCAATTGAGGCAAAAAAATTATATCATGAAATGACTGAGAGGGGAATATCTCGGGATATTATTACCTATAACTCTCTAATATATGGTTTCTGTTGCATGGATCAATGGCAAGAAGCCACGTGGTTGCTAAATAAAATGGGGCTGGAAGGCATCACTCCTTGTATTTATACCTTTAATATATTGGTAGATGCATTTTGTAAAAAAGGGTGTATAACCAAAGCTGAGGCAATAGTTGGTAGGATGATGAAAAGTAGCATAAAGCCTGATGTTATTAGTTACAGTGCTTTGATGGATGGGTACTGTATGATGAATAATGTTGATGAGTCGAAGAAGGTTCTTCATAGAATGAAAAGTGATGTGTTGCCTGATGTTTTCAGTTACAATATCTTGATTAATGGGTTATGTAAAATGAAAAGGATTGGTGAAGCCATGGATCTCTTTCAAGAAATGCAATGCAAAGGTTTGTTTCCTGATATTGTGACATATAATACTCTTATTGATGGCCTGTTCAAATCAGGAAAGATCTCAAACGTGCAGGAACTTATTTATGATATGCATGATAGTGGTCATCTGCCAGATATAGTAACCTACAATGTCTTGTTGATGGATTGTGCAAGAGCCAGCATCTTGATGAAGCAATTATGCTATTCGAAGAAATGGGTGTCCTAGGAAAACAACCTGATATTTACACACACACCATTCTTATTGGTGGTTTGTGCAAGGATGGTAAATTAAATACTGCTCAACAAGTTTTTCAGTATCTTTTGGCTAATGGTCATTCTCTAAATGTCCAAGAATATACTGCTATGATTAATGGACTGTGTAAAGAGGGCTTGTTTGATGAGGGACGGGCATTACTTTTTCAAATGATTGACAATGGGTGCCTCCCAAATTTTGGAACTTTTAAAACAATGATCGGAACTCTTTTGGAGAAAGGTGAGATTGATAAGGCGGAGAATATTCTTCATGAAATAGTTGCTAGAGGTCTTCAAAGACGATAAAAGAAAGCCAGATACTTGTTTTCATGTTGAAATTTGTTGAAATATTTAACCAATGCAATGTCTGATGGCAGCTGAAATTTAAAGGCAATTAAAGTTGTTTTCACTTTTTTATTTCAGTATCAGCCATGGTTGTCGTTGAATCCCCTAAGTTCATTTGATTGTCTTTGCCTTGCTGATACTGGTAGGCAGCATATGCCACTGATGATTATTTTCGGGGTTCATTCTCCCATCCCATCCTTTTTGTTATATTTAGAAGCAAAACTACTTGAAACGTTGGGAAAATCTATCTCTTCTCGTTCGATTTAAGGCTGTCTTCCTGTTATTTTGTTTCTGTTCCTAACATCTGTATCTAGTAATTTACGGCATACAAAATTTTTTAATTCCATATTTGTCGTTTTTTCAGTTCTTTTGTAGTTGGGATAAGTTCATATGTAAAATTGAGATTTAGCTTAGACACTTTTTCCTTGGAGTGTTGTATTTATAACAATGTTCAAACTTTAGAACAGATGAATACAAGAAGTTTGCCATTTTATCCTGTGATAGGCTAATATAAGTTTATGGGAGGTGAATGAACTTTGATCCCCTCACTTGAAAGGTTTCTATACCCTATTTAACTTCATATCCAGTTACCCACTTTATTTGATGGTCTTTGTAGAGAAGGGGTTGTTATTGAAGCAAAAATTTTACATCATGAAATGACTAATGGGAATAACTTCAAATATCGTTACATACGCCTCTTTGATGCTTAAATAAAATGGTGCTAGAAAGCATCAATCCTTCTGTTTATGCCTTTATTATTGGATGCATTTTTTATAAAAGGAAAGATAACCAAAGCTATAGCTGTAGTTTCTTTGATGATGAACTGTGGTCAAAAGGGTGCTGGAATTACTTTCAATGCCTTAAATGGGTGGGAGCACTTTGATCAATGATGTTTGGTGAGTTGTGTTGCATAAGATGATCAAAAAGTGATGTGGCTCATAATATTTTCAATCACAATATCGTGATTAGTGGGCTGTGCAAAATTAAAAGGGTTGGTGAAATCATATATCTCTTTAAGAAAATACAATGTAAGTGATTGTTCATGATACTGTCACATGTTTTCTTTATAGATGGCTTGTATAAATAGCCATATGCTAGATATAATAACTTGTAAGTATCTTGTTGGATGATGGATTATGCAAAAGCCACGGTCTTAAGGAGATAGTTACTCTTTTTTTCCAAAAAAAAAAAAAAAAGAAAAGAAATTTAACTTTAATATTTTCATTACAATGAAAAAAATTCTAAATATTAAATACATGAAAATTATTGGAATTTGATTTGGTTTGAGTAATTTAAATTGGAACAAAAAAGAGAGGGAGAGGGAGATAAATGAAATAAAAAAAATGATCTTCATTGAGAGACATTATTAGTATGTAATTTACATTAACTCATTTTGCTCTTTCTACGTGTTGCTTATATTTTATGAATAAGATAATTTATAATAAAAATCGAAAAGAATCAAATCAATAATTTTTATTGCTGTTAATAAAATTCAATGGTACTGATAGCGCTGAACATATTAAATAAGGGTTAAGTTGTATGTATTCGTCTCATATATATATTTTTAAGAGCATCCAATATTTTAAACTAATTTTTGATACATTCAACGTCCTAAAATATCTTTTTAGTACTACCTATTATTCTAAAATAATTTTTTTATATAATTTTAGTCTGGAAATATTTTTCTCGAAAGCCACAAACATTCCTAACTTACGATGCATAATGTAGCTCAAAAAATAATATATGTAAACAAAATTACTGATGGTGAACATGCTTTTCAGTAGAGCAACACGGTATGCATCCCCCAATTTCTTGAATAATATAGTTGATTTAATATGAAAACAAATTTACTAACAGGGTTGGGTCTAGCAGAAAGGGCTAGTCCCTCATAATGTGACGAACCAATGTTTGGATCCTCACTGGGAGAGGTACTCACATTTAGTACTAAACAGTGCCTCGAATAGGATTACTTTTAATAGAAGGATACCTATATTTTAACTTCCATCAACCCTAAGTGACTAGGTCTCAGCAAAGAGCCTATATTCCATTGCTAGCCAGATCAGATCAAAGTGGGTAGAACTAGAAAGCATACCAAATCGAGGTCTTCATGAAGAGATACTGAAACTGGAGGGTCGCTGACCTACGCGTTGCTCTCTGTCCATCGCGGTATTGCTGCTAATCTGAGTGGTCTTGTTTGATTCTTGCTTATACAAATAGTGAGCTTTTTTTTTTTTTTAAAAAAATGGGATGAACAGATAGGCAGCTTTTGTGGCTGATAATTATTCAAAAGGTTCATTCTCTCATTCCATCATTTCTTTTAAATATATATTTAGAAAAAAAATACTACCTCCGGTCCTAATTATAAGACTCAGTTGACTTATTTAAGGAGATTAAGAAAGTAAGTTAAGTTAGTTATTTGTAATAAATAAGTGTTGTCATTCCTAAAATATACTTGCTAATTAAGTGTATTGGCTAGAACTATCATTATTAGAAGGATTATCTTGGAAAAAAATGTATAAATATGAGAGATAAAATGGATTGGGGTCTTATAATTAGGACCAAACAAAAAGTCAAACGAAGTCTTATAATAAGGATTGGAGGTAGTATTTCTTATTAAAAAAAAAAAGAAACAAAACTGTTTCAAATTTTGTGAAAATCTATCATTTTGTTATAGTTCTGGGGATGAAAATCTTTTCGAGAGTGATTAAATGCCCTTTTTTTTAATTCCATGGCTTTCACATCTTAGCCTCATGCAAAGGGTGTTTATTGTTTTTAGAAAATTAGAGCTTTCTTGATTTTGTTGCATAGTTATGTGCTTGAGGTCTCAAGACTACAGAATTACAAATACTTGACGTCAAATATTTGACGGTTATAATAAAAACTGTCAAATAAAGAGAGGTGGAATTTTTCAGGACAAAAATTGATAGTTTTAAAAGGAACCGTCAATTATTGTTTGAGAATACTTGAGCGTTCTAGAAAGAATTGTCAAGCATGAAAAACAAAAATTTGACAGTTTCTCTGAAAATCGTCAAGTTTAGTAATACTTGATGGTTTTTCAATATAACTGTCAATTATTTGTCAAGCGTACTTGACAGTTATATTAAAAAATTATCAAGAGTGTCTTAAAACCCCTAATCTGTTCATTTCGCTTAACCTTGTTTTAAAATTTTGGGCATCCTTCTGCTTCATAAGCTCTGCCCAAACCTCCCAATCCTCTAATTTGCCATCCCCACATCATTTTTGGTCTTTCCCTGTTGTTTTTATGGTTCCTCCTCCATTATCGTCACTCTCTGTGATCCTCCTCCATCATTGTTGCGTCGTTGCGCTGTGTGGTCATCCTCTATCATCGTCACGCTCTGTGGTCATCCTCCATCATTATCACGACATGTTCTCCAGACTTTATAGCTTCAGATTGGTCATGCTCTTCTTTAAATCTCTAATATGATTTTGTGGTTCCTTCTGCCTTGTTGCATTTTTCCTGGTACAACTTTTGGTTCCTTTTGCCTTGTTGCAATTTTGGATTAGATACTCTTGTTCACTGGAACCTTCCAAATGATTTTAATTGAAACTAGATCATAGGATGAGCAATTATTTTTGCTCCATTATCATATCTCTGTTTGGCCGAAATTTGGGTTTACTTACATGGTTTAAAGTTGGCATAGGATGAAGGTTGCAGACAAGGTGGTAGAAACCGACTCCACTAATGCACTTGAGCTAATTACGAAGGGTGTTGCGGGAGAACATGATGATTATAGGATCGTTAAGGAGGTGCAATCTCTACTCGATAGGGATTGGACAGTCTGTATAGACTATGTGGATAGGCGTCATAATGTAGCTGATGAAAAGTCATGAAGGAGATAATTATGCACAATTTCGACATAATCCCTGTGAAGGTAAGATGCATTTGTTAAAGTTCAATTTATAATTTTAGAATTATACTTAGTGTAGCTTTACATTTATATCTAACCTCAATTTGTTTTTGCATATAATATTTTACCGACACATATTGCATAGTGTATTCATCTGCTCAAATAGAAGAAATCGTTGAAGAGCTGGCAATGGTTTTGTACCATCAGTAGGCACAAAATAAATAAGGAAGTAGAAGATTGCTTTGGTTTCAATATTATGCTGTTAGTTTTGGCATCAAACAATTTTGTTGTGGTTTTTGGCAATTGACTAATTTTGGTTTTGGTTGGTTTTTGGCTTTTGCCATTTGTACTTATCCAAAATTTTGATTTGGCTTAAGACAACATATTGTATAACATTTGGTTTGTCATTAAGATGCATATGATGTAAATTTTTGTTTGGTACATGGTTAATTAGATTCATATGATTGAATTATTAATTACAGTATATTGGTTTGAATGCTAGCCTGATTCTATTTATCAAATAATACTTCATGGTTACTCATAAAACCGTCAACTATTTTGAGAATACTTGACAGTTTTAGCCTAATAACCATGAAGTATTTTCAGTTTTTTTTTATACGGGTTCTGTTTTTTAAAATTCTCATTTTCATGGTTCATTGAAATGTTTGCATTTATGAGCAGCTTCAAACTATGAATTTTTTTTTAAAAAAGCAACTTTTGTCTGTTTTATAAAGTATTGATAAGTTTGAAAATATATGTATTAGAATTAATTTTATGTTGTTGACAAATTATATCTAGAAAATGAGAAAATTAAAATTATAAAATTTTATGATATAAGCAAAATTGATAAATTTTATAATATGTTAGAAAGTTTGAAAATATATGTTTTAGAAGAATTTATATGACGTGTAAAAATTATATTTTGGAAATGATTAAATAATTCTTATATTAAAAAAAGAGTATTTTGATGAAAATAAACGTTTAAGAGTCCAACTAATGGTCAATTAAAGTATTTGGGTATATGAAAATAGGTTCTTAATTATATCGTAGAGGGTTCTATATGTTACAACTTAATTTTAAAGGAGGTTCCAATATGATTTTAAAATAAAAGGGGGGATTTTTATAATTTAGATAAAACTGAAGGGTGATTAATGATTTGCCCATATTTTAATGTAAAACTTGTGTTAATATCCTATACTAGGCTAAAAATTATT